CTTAAGTGCATGTAAGAAGCTGACTAGAGTCATGGCATTAGATTAATTGGCATTAAACGAGAATTCTGAACAGAATGGGAGGCATGTTAAGCATTCATTCACAAATCAGGCCTTATCCACTTTAAAAAAGATGAAGACTTACATGACCATGGTGCGTCTTAAGCCCTCTATCCTCCACTCTGCAGTTTCCATCTATAAGAAGTGTCTTGATCGGCACCTGAATACCTCAAATAATAATTTAAGCGCTTAGACGTTTAGCATCTCAAATAAGAAAATAATGAAGCAACAAAGGGCGGTGAAAAAACCCTCCGAAACCCTACTAAAGATCAGATGAAATAAAACAAAAAACTAAGACAAAAAGATGGAAGAAGAAACTAAGTGATGGGGTACCACGTTATCCTGAGGTTTCCTCTTGTAGTACGCGAGGACTCTGGTCTCGAGCACGAAGTACCGCATATGGATGAACGATCGCCCAATCTTCCGCCTTCCATAACGCACCATCCATCCCTCGTAAACCACCTTTGACATCCTCTGTCTCGATACTATTTCCCAATAGATCCTACACTCTACATCAATCAAATATCATACGGAGTGAGATAAGAGAAAATCAAAGAGGGGAACATAGTAGCCCTAACTAACCGATCACAGTACTTGCTCAAAATGAAGCCAAAAAACCCTCGATTAACAACATAGATCTCAACCCGTACTTCAACTTTAACAACGACGACGAACTATCGAAGAAAAAAGACATACCAGATCGATCAAAAGGTGGTTCGCAGGCGACGAACTCCGAGTTCCGATTGACCACAGGCGCTATAGGATCACATAGATAAATCGGCTCGGACGTAGCAGCCCGACGACGATAGGATCACAAGGATCCTACCGCGTAAGAAGTGAAGGGGGATGTCGTGGAACCGAAAGAGGAAGAAAGAAAGGGGGAAGGGGTGCTGCTGCGACGGGTTTTAAATGGCGACGGACGATGACCACGCAGAACAGAATACAAGAAAATAAGACTCAGCGCCTACCGAAAAAGGAAACGATAACCCCACCTCCATAACCTCTTTTTGATTTTTTTTTTTTATCTCTATCTAATTATTATTTCTGGAAACAGAATATGGGCATAAAAATTCTGCAGAAGAAATTGGAGGTAGAAATATGATAATAAATTAATTTTTTGTTTCAATAATGGAGAAAATTTGATAAGGGAGTTGGTCTGCGCGTGTGGTGTGTAGTGGGTCATGGAGGAGTCTACAGCGCTGACTATGCGGATGTGGAAGGCATCTCTCCGTCAGCAACACCGACGTTAGATCAAGACGAAGGAAACAGTTGTATTCACCGGCGTTTTCTTAGGAGAAGTACGTTTTCTACTGCCTCTCACGTACGTTTTCTTAGGAGAAGTACGTGCGAGAGCGTCGCTGTCTTTGAGGCCCATGTGAGTCCAAATCAAACACGGATCAAAATGTATTCAAAAAGATGCGCCTACCAAGTGTGACGATGTAATAAGGCAGCATGCAAGAAATTAAAGAGTTGACAAAGGTGTTGTAACGTGATCTGGAATTAAAGAGGACGGTGCAAGCATCTGGATTTTGAATCTTAAAGTGAGGAGGATCAAAATCCACTTTGAACTCGGAGAAGGATCCATCCACGCGTCGGATCACTCTCGTGAATTGTAATGCCTGCTTAGTGAGGTACATCGAGTTCGGAAGATCCGCCTCTGCAACCGATTTCAGATGCCTTTATAATCTTTTTTTATCCTATGCCATCAGAATTGCTGGATGGGTTGGAGCCACACGTATATAATATAAATTCACCTGTGGACGTGGGTTTGTGAGTAATCACGTAAAATGGAAAATGAGAAGTAACACTAATTTTCTTCATTTATCAAACAGTCACGTAGAATGTATCCTTTGCTTGTCCCATGGCTTAACTGGGCCCAAGGCATAATTGGGCCCTGTGGGGACAGTTAGCATTTGGGCTGTCCTTGCATTTCCGATCGTAGTTGGCGTGCCCCGATATATATTTTGTATATGTGTATCATATTTTAGTTCTGCTGAGAAAAGAGGGAAATAGACGAGAATCGAAGTGGGGGGTTTGTCACGCTGACAACAGGTACAGCAGCATGCTTGTGCACTCACCGAGCAAGGTGGTGACGGTGACGGTGACGATGATATGGTCTTCTGTGGCCGATACGTACCTGATAGTAGACGTGACGGTGCATGGTTCCCTTGACCGACTGGTAACACTAGTGGTCAAGGCGGAGTCGGAGTGGTCAGGCGTTGGAGGGCTACGGGGTACGGCCGCCTACTGGCCACGCATTTCGGCACCGATGAGTCGCTAGAATTAAAGCCATCGATCCCCGGAAAAGAAGTTAACGAGATTAGCTTGCCTGACTGAGCAAGCCAAGTTTGTCACTTGTAGGGCCTGATCCAAGCCAATAAAGTGGGGAATTGGTCTAAGGAGTGCGTACGGTTTTCCTGTGGAGGACACCTTTACTGGGATGCTGTTCTGAAACCGGTCCATCTATACAAGTCCGAACTGGAGAGGAAATCATCCAAGTACACATGCTAGCTAGTGCCGTGGGCGGAAGGATATATTCTTTGACACGCTCCGATTACTATGCCTGAACCCAAGTCCAAGTCCATCAAAATTACTCTTATCTAATCACACTTTGCTTTCAAGACATCTCGTCATGCCTCAAATAACACGAGAGATGTACAGTGGTCCTGCTCCTTTGAGGTCGTGCTTCACTTTCAACACAAACATCCTGTCTTGTCTAAAATAACATGGAAAGAGAGCGACGTCTGGTACTATCATGCCTTTCTCGGGTGGGAGGGACCTGCGCCGGAGACTCCGGACGCAAACGAGCAACAAAAACAAAGTGCGCAAAGGCATTCAAAACGGATGAGAGATCGCATTCCTATGCAATAATTCCCTTTGGGCCTTGCGTTGTTAACAGAAAAAAAAAATAAAAGAAAAGATAAAGAAAACTTCCATTTGTCTCGCTTTTTATAACTTCTGTAGGACTCTCATTATTACATGCAAACGGAAGGGAACGAAGGAATTATTAGTAGCGTAGCGTAAAAGTTGCACCAGCTCTCCATCCCAAGCCGATTTAACCCACAACAGCTGTTGCAGCATAAAGAAAAGAAAAAGAGATGCAAAACAACATCCAACACCGGCGACGGCCCGCACCTCCGTTGGTGCTGCCCGCTTAATGACCTGTAGCTGCCGGTAGCCCTGCAGTTTAAGGCTGCGCTCCGTGCTGGAGCCTGACGTCCTTCAATGTCACAATGAACCGTCCCAATATCAGGACGCGAGTCAAAAACAGGTACATATCAAGCATTTAATATATATATATATATATACAAATTCCTGAATTAACATAAAATACGTCCATTTTTAAAAATCTTCCCATAGTGATTTTTTTTTTATTGAAAGATACTTTTTTATCCCTCATCGATCGTCTTTATCTTTACTTAACTAATCCAATCTCTATGGTTACTTCACTGTCAACGTCATCACTTTAGTGAAGGAGGGCATGAGTGAAGATGAGGGCATGCAGGTCTCTCATCTTCCTCTACTCGTCATCTTTATTGACTAAATTGATAGACGAGTCATGGTTGAGGACCACGACAATGGTAAAAAAAATTGAGAGGAGAATAAAGATAATAGGACAAGATAAAATCAATAATCGATGAAGCATAAAAACAATGAAAGAGATGAGAAGACAAATATAATTAGAGACAAATAAGAGATCACCAACAAAAGAAGGAAAAAACCCACTTACAAAGGTACTTAGAGCACTGGACTATGTGACCAAGGATGGTAGGGATGCGGGTGAGGCAAAAGTGAAAACGAATTGGGTGAAAACAAAAGATAAAATATTTTTAAAAATAAAAAAAATATTTTATAAGAATTTTAAAAAATTATATTTTTAAAGAATTTACCAAGAGAGAGAGAGAGAGAATCAATGTAAGGGCTCTGGGTTGGCTGGACTGAATTCGATATCACTTCAAAATTGTTGACACCTCTGTTGGTGTTATGCGGATCATGCGAGCGCGACAACACATCAGTTTATGGTAGTATTTTTCTAATGTTTTGCATCACATGTGATGTATCACCTTCATTTGTGGAAGCGAAAAAAAAAAACGAAAAACACAAGCAAAAAGTAAAATCCCTTTTGTCGTTTGTCAACCGCAACCCAAAAGAAGAGAGGAAAAAAAGAAAAAGAAAACAGATTAGAGCAGTAGTCAAATAAGTTACAAACTGGTTAACAGACGGAGTTGTAGTGGACACGCACCGATTGGACAACTCGGGATCAAAAGACCAGCCCGTCAAATCTCCAAATGCTTTTCCTTATGGCACTGGGCGCCCGTACGGTATCGTGATCAATCCCGGCCGTCCACCTGGGCGCGCTCCTCTCGGTGCTGCCTCTGGATCATTAATTTGTACTTTTTAATCAAAGGTTGCTTCATCTGACGGTCCAGATCCGGTGATGTCACTCGGCCCGTGCGCGTGCTTATGTTAGTGGGCCGTTCCATTAGGACCTATCAGCGGCTAGTAAGGGTTGGGGTGACAGTTCCCCGTCATCCTCTGGCCGACGCGCCCGTATTGTACGGTTATAGAACCCATCCATCAGTTAGTTCAGTAGGAGGCACACCGCAGATCAGCCCCGTCTGATGGATGGGACCAATCGAAGGGGGGAGGGTGACAAGACCACTCGATTACAGGGGTGCCACAGGCGATGAACGACTCTGATTTCTCAAGGCGAGCCCTATTCACACTCCTTTTTGTTTTAATTTTTTTACAAAAAAATTAAAAAAGAATATTGTATTTAGTTAGCATTCGTAGTAAGTACGGTGACGGGGCAGATAGCGGCCGTCAACGTCAAAGAAGAAGAGCTTCTGTTCTAGAAAACTGGACTTATTCAACGTTATTCTATTCTAGTATGCTATATATAGTAGAGCCTAGGGAGCGGGCTTCTTCGCCCATTTCAATTACACTTGGCATTCCCGAACGGGAAAACTGAAGTGGGACGAAGCGGAGGCTTTTCTTCCGCTTTGGCTATTCGAAACTACTTTTGCTGGGGTAAAGGTAGAAGTAGAACAAACAAAACGGTGAAGCTAAAGATTTAAAATTATGGCAACTCTCTCCCTCTTCGCCGCAAGCTCACTGCCATTTTGCTTCTCGCCCGCGAGCCGCTGACGTCTTCTTCGATGCGATCTCGGAAGAGTGAAGGAAGCAGGGCTAGCAAAGAGGTGTTGTGATTTATCGGTGAGGCGGCAGCGGTAATTGAGGACGCGGAGTTGAAGAAATCAGCGATCGGAGGAAGGTAAGAGAAGTTCGGACGTTATCTCTTCTCGATCGATCATTCTCGTGTTGCTCTGGTATTTGGTTTTCACTTTCGCCAAAACGAATCGGAGTTAAAACTTTTTTGCTATTTGTTAATGAAATGGTTGATCGGGCGGCCTTGCATGTGGTTTCGACATGGTGTTTGTTCTTTTGATCCATTTTCCTTCTTTGTTTTTGTTTCGTTTTCTCCTCTGTAAATCCTGTTTGGTTTCTTAGGTGCTCATCTGAGTACCTCAAGAATTTCAACAGAGGTAACTCCTGTAGCAATGAAGATACAGTAGTCGAATCTGATCTGTCACAAATACTCAAAAGATCTGGTCAAAGAACTGGAGGAAGATTCTTCGAAAGAAGAGTAAAACTTCCACGATCTGTGCAGTAATCTAATATGTAAGGTCACTATTTTTGCCCTGTTTTATAAAGTTTTGTTATGATTTTGGGTTTAGATGTCTTTTTCTACCGGAGAAGGAATCTTGGATCTTTCCTTCTGGTTCCTTCCCTATGTTCTTGTATGCCTGGGGAGAAAAATGTGGGGTCTACTATGAGCTTGCATGGAAAAAGGGCGAGGAGAACACTGAGAGGAGAGAGACGATACAATGGCATGGCCTCTGCTCCTCTCATTGGAAATCTTCGCTTCTATCTGTCTTTCCGTCAACCTATGGAGTATCGAAGCGCACGCTAATATGTCTCCTGTCCACCTATTTATGGAACGCTCCTTCCTTTACTCTTCCGGCCCTGCTTTCCTCCAATTAATTTTCAGCAGTACGATTAAAGCGGGATGTGTTTGATCCTTTCAGAGTCAGAGGCGACAATTTATGTAGTGAACGACACAGTGTTTGTCCTCTCCCCGTGCTCGCTAAAAGAAAGAAAGAAAGTCATGATGGCAGGATTGCCGAATCTTGTGAAAACAACACAACTGCAGAATGCTTGCTTTTGTCGGGCACGGCCAAGCCCTTTCCTTTGCTGAGGCGTACTGCCATATGAGAGATTTGACCATTTCTTTTTCTTGCCCTTGCAGCGGTTTCTGGTGGTGGTGAGAAGCAGGGCGGACTCCAAGATGTTGGCCTGTATCGCCTGTTCCAAGCACGACCCGGAAGATGGCGGGGACGACACCGCCGCGCGTGCGCCCACCAATCCAAGCTCCAAAGACCCCGTCAGAAGCCTCACTTCTCAGGTTCTCTCTCTCTCTCTCTCTCTCTACGTACTCCGTGCAGCACACGCAAGTTGTTGCTGTAGTAATAATGTGGTACTTGGATGGACGAGACCATTTAGGTGGGCAAGCGTGGCGCTGCATGGGAGAGGGTAGCAGCCAAAGAACGAGAACGCCAGACCTATATGTGTCCGGTTCTACCACTACCACATCGTCCACAACCCTGTTCCCACCCACCCACCAACAGAACAAGACCTCGACCCCAGACGACTCACTCAAGTTCTCAGCAAAAGTAGAAACAGGGCAAACAAAATGGCACATTAGTTGGTGAGAATAGAGCACCGGAATAATAGCTTGCTGCTTGCCAGCAAAGCGCTATAAAGGTTTGGGATATCATCACAAGGTGACTCGTCCTCATGGGTCCCCAAAAAGAGAGGAGGTAAGAGATGTGGGATTAGATGTAATTTCGCTTTCTCTATGTTGTTTTTGGTCTTCAAAGTAGGGGGAAGATATGGTCTCGGGTCTTCTTAAAAAGGAGTGCTCTGATAGAAAGAGATCCATTGGATGTAATAAGGACGACGATTGGGTTGTGTGCACCAGCAAGGGAAGGAATAAAGTGAGAGCAGGGACAGACTGGTGGTCTTGGTTATTTCCCAGAGTGAGCGAGTGACTGAATTCTTCAGGTTTTGACTCTTAGACCGCATTAGTCTCTTTGGAACCTTACCTATGGTAATTACCTTATGATCAAGGCAGCAACTTGGCGCCTGCCTTTCCTTTCTCAACCCACATTACCCGGCAACTTTTGTCGCATCTTCTAAATCAAATTAATGGTGAGCAGCTGTAGTCTACAGTGGAAGAGCGATAGCGCCACAACATTGCCCTTGTAAAGCCGAAGGATTGGGCTGCTTGTCTGTTAAAACCTGTTTTCCCTTTCTTTATTCTAACCATCATCTTTTACATGCGGGTGTGTTTGCGTGACGTACGAATTAATTAGATAAGTTCGTAGTGACTGGAGAGAGTACTAGTACTAGTACTGCATATGCATTGGACTACTAAGATTTTGGTACAAAGAGCTGCTCCCATTAACAGGTAGGCCCCTTGGGTCGTCAATGAACGGACATGAGCTGCACACGCAGTCGTCTAGCCATGTTAGTTGGCCGGGATCAATCGCTTCGTGTGGGTTTGTCCCCCATGCCAGGCTTTGCTCGCTGAAGAGGGATGGTCAATTAATTACGTCTCCTCGTAATGCATAATAGTGAGCGGCCACTAGTTTGTCGGCCTCACCGATGTATGATGGGCGAAGGTGGTGTTCATCCTTCCGAGACTGGCAACTTGATGTAAACGGGACTCGCCTATAGTTGCACAACCCTAGGGTGCAATGCGCGATATCATCCTGTGATGGGCTGGCGCATCTGTGGTCGTTAATTCAAGTATTTCTGTCAATGGGAGGAAAGCGTCGCGACTTTTAGATAATTTTATACAGAACAAACATTTACAGTTGAAGGACATGGTGTTGAAGTTCTCCGGCACGCATCGACATTGCAAAGGTGGTAGTAGCTCTTCGTTCGGAAAGAGCAAGACCCTGCATCATCACCAGTTTCGCGACCGCAGCACCTACCTTGACAAAGACGTGGCCTCCGACGCTGGCAGCCAGTATGACTTCATCCGGGCGGCAGCCAGCTCGAGCTCGACACCCGCATGGGATTTCTCAAGTTATAGCAATGACAACGTGGGGCAGTACGAGGAAGAGGGCTCCAGTTACGGGGGCAAGTGGATTCAGCAGCAGGTGGAGGAGGACGCAGTGGTGGTGGATGAGGAAGGCGAACCCAAGGAGTGGATGGCGCAGGTGGAGCCGGGCGTCCACATCACGTTCGTGTCCCTCCCAGGCGGCGCTGGAAACGACCTTAAACGCATCCGGTTCAGGTACGCGTTGAGAGGATATTTTAACTCGTCATTCAGCTCTTCTCTTACTAATGGATGGAACGGGTGGGATGACACAGCCGGGAGATGTTCAACAAGTGGCAGGCGCAGAGGTGGTGGGGGGAGAACTACGATAGAATCATGGAGCTGTACAACGTGCAGCGATTTAGCCGTCAGGCTTTCCCAACTCCGCCCAGATCCGACGACGGCGAGGTTAGTGGTATATTGATTGCAAAATCCTTGTTTAGCAAACAAACAAAACAGAGAGTAACACTCATCATAATCAACCCATTGATCAGAGAGAGAGAGAGAGAGAGAGAGAGAGGTTTTCAAGCACATGCATCCAGGCTTTCGAAGCCGGCAGCTTTAGCAGTCCGTTCGTCCTCGCCAATGGCCCAAACCCCAAACCTCGTGCGTAAAAGAAAGAACAAATCCTTCTTTTGCCCTGTCGTCCATGTGAAGTTTTACATGTACAGGACGTTAGTCACTGTAAACTTCAATCTCCATCCCAAAGGTGGGTGCGAGTGTGGGTTTCATTGCTTCCCTATGAGCCCACTGGATTGCCCTCAAGCACACAAAGGAATAGGAGGGCTAGAGACCACGGACAGATATCGCCAGCAACCTCCTCCATGGCAAAACCGTACGTGTTCCACCACGGTAATGACCACGTGCCACAAAAATCGCTCAACAGTTTGTTTGACTTGTGTACGCAGAGGGAATCATCGCCGCCATTCTACACCAGGGATAGCCAAAGCAGCCCTGTCAACCTGCCTCCAACCGGCAAAGAGCGACTCAGCAAAAGCACGTACGGGCCACCGTCCACCTCCGGGAGAGGGGCCTACTGCCCGCCTGTCCCAGATCCTTCCCAACATCTCCTCCTCCCACAGTACTTCTATCCTGCGGCCTTCGCCACTGCTCCCGCAGCCGGTGTGAAGGGAGAATGCTCCTCCATGGACGCGTCGAGAACCACCACGTCCTCCAGAGCCTCCGTCTCCATCAGCAATGCCAGCGATCTCGACGTGACTGAGTGGGTGGAGCAAGACGAACCCGGCGTGCGCATCACCATCCGTGAGCTGCCAGATGGCACCCGAGAGCTTCGCCGTGTCCGATTCAGGTGAGACATTCTCTGATCTCTTTTTCTTTTTTCCCTTCCTCCTCCTCATGTGCCATGCAAGAGTCGCTGATGACGAGAGCCGATTGCCTCAGCCGAGAACGGTTCGGGGAGGTGCGCGCTAAGCTGTGGTGGGAAGAGAACAGAGAAAGAATACAAGCTCAGTACCTTTGATGGGAGGCTCCCGAACAGGTAAAACATACCTCTTTAACAGCTGCTGACCGTGATAACCCGGAGGACCGACGCCGATCTGCCTCACTTATATAAATATAATTACATAGAAATGTACGTTGCTCCTGTCAATCTAATCTAAGGTCATAGTTTGCTTAGGCTAGCTAGTCTTATATGGTATCTGGTCCATTTTGAGGTCACCAACACTGTAACCTCACATCTTTGGTGTTTAAATGAATGCTTCGCCCAGCTGACAAACACATTCAATGAAGAACCGTCTTATATCAAACTCCTCAGTACACACATCTATAAAATTAACGTTCTGATAGTAGAGTTCATCAGGATCCTCTAAAAGGCCCTAAACCCTCCATCAACTCAGGGCTATCTCTAGCATCAAAGTGAACACGCAGTGTATGATCATGTAATCACGACTTTATGGTTGGAAAGGAAAATGACAGACGAAAGAAAAATGGCAATTGTTTTCCCAGAAGATATTATCCACAAATCCGACAAGCATGCAATTAACAACAAGATATAGTGTTTCAGAACAAACATACTTGATTACAAAGCACTGAAGACAGGAATCACTTGTTCAATTTGATATCATATTCCAATATCTCTTCTTTCGGTTACAAAATTAATGCTCAGGAGATCAGATACATCAGCTAAACTGCAAATAAATTGGTGATCAGATCAGTCGCATACTTGCTCTGTGTAAATGCTGAAGAGTTTGACTAAGAATATTTTGTCCTAACCTGGATTACCACGATCGCTCTGCTGGTTCTAGGAAACCACGACTTAATTGACTCGTGGATCCTGCAATCAAACAATGAATTCAAAGAAAACAGCCCTTAACGATTCTTCTCTAGCAATGATCAATCAAACTAAATATGTATTGATATGCCAAACAACTGATTCGATGCCTAGATAGATCATACCATAAAGAAATCTGTAAAGGGAAGGATCCATCTCTGCTCGGAAAAGAAGAAGGCAGGATGACCATTTCGAACAGACAACGATCAGCTACGTTTCCGACGCCCGTAATAAGATTCCAGTAACGATTGCATCACCGGTTGGCGAGAATCTCGCAAGTTACAGATACGTGACAGATCATCAAGAGAAGAATAGGGAATTTAAGTGGAGACCGCAAACCAGGCACAGAGAGCAATGAGCAATCAAGAACTAGAGCCACATTCCGAAGCCCTACATCACACCGATCAGGATTAAACCCACGGGATCGGCGAAGCGAGAAGCCCTAGATGCACCATATATCGAGTCGCAGAAGCCAACACGAAGGGATCTGGATCTCGAAGCGGACCTGGAATCGGAACCGGAACCGGATCCGGGTCCGGCGAGGACGGAGCTCGACAGGGGGGGAGGGGCGAGGAGGGAAGGGAAGAGGAGAATTAAGGGGAAGGGGATCGACACCTCTCCATGTTTGTTTATAATATTCTTTTTACAAATTCCCCAAAATATTCTTTTATTTTTTCCTGATAGCATTTATTTTATTTATTCTCAATAAAATTATTAAATTTTATGATCGTATCTAATTAGATAAAATATATTATATATTTAATTAGATTTTAATGATAATTATTAGTTAATAAAAAATCTAATTATGATATTCCTTATGAGATGATTTTGGTAGGAAGAACTCTTCTAATTATCTTAGATCATTTGTACTCGCCTATAAATAAATATAACATCTTAGGGACTAAAAACATAATAGGTAAAAATATGGATAAATCATATTATTGAGATATTATAAATCTTTTTTTATCTTTCTTTAGTTACCGTCATTAAGAGATTACATGAGTTAGTCATCAAGATAGGAAAAGAGAAAAATATGAATCTAGTTCTCCTTACATATTAACATTATTATAATTTTCAAATTCGAGAATAGTACCCCTACGTATCATATAAAGATTTTTTTGGATGACATCAAAAAGTATATATTATAAATCTGATTTATTATTATTCGATTTTAATCCAAGCATTAAAGTTTTTCTATATAACTATAGCATATTATGATTTTTTATGCTTAAATTGGTATTAGAGTCGAGTTTCTTCAAATCAAATACCTTAGATCTATTGGTTTTTAATTTACGATGCTCGAATGATCCACGTATATTATCGATATACCTTTCTATTTGATCTGTCCTGTCCCTACTTGCAGACGACACAAGGTTTCTTATATTAGATCAATGGACCACTGTCGAAAGCTTGCTGTCGACGATAGTATTATTTAGGGCCACAGTCTTTGACAATCGCCAACCCTATAGTGACTATATTGGTTGCACAGTGCAGCTACATACAACGCTTATAGTAGCACCATTGCGAGTGACAATTACGGTGGCTACATAGCACCACTATCGATGGAGATTGTAATGACTGCAACAGCATCGTTGTGTGCGCTCGCTATAATGGTTGCAACAATATCGTTGCAGCTGCAATGACATCTATTGGTCGTGGACGATTGCACTAAGTGACACATATACACGATGGCAGCAGGCGACGACTATGTATCACGTTGGTCGTAGAGGCGATGATCGCATACCTCATTGACCACGCAAGCAATGGTCATGCATCACAGCAACCACCCAAGCATTGGCCACACAAATAGTGGTTGCATGCCTCGTGCACTACAGGAATTAGGGTTCTGATTTTTAAAATTATAGTTTTACCCTTATAAATCTTATTAATTCTATTTGACATCCTTCTAACAATTCTGCCCTTTAGAAATTCTATAATTCTACTTATATCTTATTAATAAAATTATAGTTTTGTCCCTAAAAATTTAAGAATTTCTTATTTATATCCTCAATCATAAAGTTGACCAATATGATTTATTTATAATTAAATATTATCATTGAATCTTATCATGACTATATTTTGACTACTTGATTGTTTTTAGTTTGGATCAATCATTAAATTTAAG